ATTCTTAAATATTTTTAAGTATTTTTAAATATCTTTAAGTATTCTTAAATATCTTTAAGTATCCTTAAATATTTTTAAGTATCCTTAAGTATTTTTAAGTATCTTTAAGTATTATAAAAAATTAGGTTTAATATATTAATTAGACCTGCGCACATTTAAAGGGATACAGTACGGATGGCCTTGAGGTGGAACTCACCTATAATATATGCCGTTGTCAAGATCTCAGCATATTCATGCCCAAAGACCACCAACAAGATAGTCACCGGCACAAACTACAACATATAAGGTTTACTTCTATAATAATAGTGGCAGAGGCTATCGCGAGATAGCTTTAGCTAGGAGGCCGCGACGTAGCACCAATTGCGCTGAGACGGTCTACTTTTCTAGTCTTTTACTGTCCTTGGCCTGGTACAGCCCAATACTATTTTAGATTTTACGCTTGCACGATACTTGCATCATGCGTGTGATTTCATTTGCACTGCTCCCAAGAAGAGAAACATAATAAATAGCCGCGAACAGGACTACATTTTCCCACTACTAGAAGCACACGACACGAACAGTTCTGCCGGCGAAATGGAGCCTTATAGGCCAGGAGAAGCAGAGAGAGAGTTTTATTACCTTGGGTTATTTGATCCACCTAAGTTAATCGCAAGAACAAGCGGTACGCCATGGTCGCTGGTTGAAGGACCTGATACTGCAGAGCGCTACCCGCCCAGGAAGAGCTTCCGGGCAATTATTCAACACGAAATTCTTGTGAGATGGTCAGAGTCCGTCCGTTCAAATATTATATGTGCTCTGGATGGCTGCAACTGGCGATGCTTCTACCCAATTCGGATTGGCTCTCGGGATGATGATGCCCGACCCCCGGTAGTGCACTACCCCGTTGTCCTAATGGTTACAGTAGACGAAATCGACATGGAGTAGGAGAGCGCCATAGAGATTGCCTTGGCATGCAGGGAGGTTCTCCGTACAGCCGGTATTCTAGATGTCGAGGTCGAGCTTCTGCAAGCCACGGTCACTAAGCTTGCCGAATCTCGCAAGCTGATTGAGGGCAAGGTGAACCGAGAACACTGGTTTTGTGACGACGACCCGTTCAATATGGCAGCAAAGATAAACGAAGCGATGCTCCCAGTTCATTCCTCACTTGGCTACCCCATTTCCCAGGCACCCCGCGGCGCAGAGGGAACGATGGGCCTGCATCTCCAACTTGATGGCGACAAGTCAAAGACCTACGGGTTAGCCAGCCGTCATGTCGCTATTGCTGGTAAAGAGAAGGACGTAATGGACTATAAAATGCAAGATGGAGACCAATGTCACTTACAGCTTGCAGTTCCTCTGTCGGCCTTGGAGAAGTGCCAGGAGAAACTCGGAAAAGCACGGCATTTCGTCGAGCATTTACTAAAACGCCTCCAACGAAGGATTGATGAGTTTCGAGCTTCTGAACGGGATAAAATAAAGGCGAATATCTACAGGTCGCTGCTTCAATACGCAGACAGCCTTAAAAAAGCCGTGGACGAGGTGTATACAGCCGGGGATACGGGACTCTTGGAAAGAACGCTTGGGCATGTCGCCTTTTCACCGACGCTTGCTTCTTGTTCTAATTCTAATGCTGGTTTTTCACGGGATTGGGCACTTGTCGAATTATCAGCATCGCAGTTCAATGACGAGCCAGAGAACAAGGTTTATATTGGCTACCAAGGCTTCAACAGGTCGGCTTAGGGTATTCCGAGTCTCCCAGACAAGGGAGAGTGTCTTTTGGAATATCTGGATGACTATGGATTCCTTCCCATCCAAGAGACAAGACCATGGGCGAGAGAACAGCGCCAAGCCTTTCGGGTTGGCAAGAGGGGAAGGACGTCAGGACTAACATTTGGTTTAGTCGGCGAAATCGAAGCCATTCTTCGCACACCAATGGCCGCAGAAGAGTCCAAAATTTCTTGGGCTTACCTTGTCGTCGCCTATACCACCGATATAGAACGCATGACAGGGCAATGGGCGCCTTTTAGTCAACCAGGAGATTCTGGCTCTTGTGTCTTCGACCATACTGGGCGAGTGGTAGGAATTATTAATGGTGGACAAGAATCTGTTGAAGTTGAAAGATTTGGCAAACACTATCAACGTGTCGGCTCTACTCTTCCGCCTGAAGACTCTACAACCTCTTCAACGCCCAAAGGTTATACAGATTTCGAGAAACTTTATGGCAGAGAGAGGAAGGGGGCGGTAGACATCACTTTTGTTACTCCAATAGACTGGATATTGGATGACATTAAGGAATTCACTGGCTACACGGCAAAGATAATCTAATAGACAGCCATGTGTATATATGGGGGAAAGCCTTACGGGAGAGTATGGATTGGGATGCCCTGCTGAAAATAGTGGAAAGCCCTTCGGGAAGGCATGAATCACTTTCGTTATATTAGCTTCGGGTTTTCCTTGTTTGCGTTTATTGTAATGCCGCGAAGGGCAGGTTACTAAAGGTTATAAAAATTGAGGAGGAAGCCCATTGCGAGACTGACATTCACGCGGTAATGGATGTAAATAGCCTATAAGTATTTAGGTTAAATCGACAAGTCTCAGTAAAGTAGTTGCTAGGTCCGATGCCAACGTGAGCCCTTGCCATAGGTGTAAGCAAAGCTGCTCTTCTGAGGAGCTCTAGTTACATATCGCAGTGTAATCCATTCAATACTTGCTTGACGTCGAAGTACATGAAGACCTCTGATCCGAAAGACAGGTTATTAATCTTCCCCAAGCCCGGTGTTCCTCATCCATAGACCCTGTGATGGGTATGACGACACAACACTTTACGCCTCCAGCAACGACAGTCTCAAAGGAGATAATATTTACACTGCTACTAGAGGGGAACCACCGGAGGCCGTCAAAGGACAGAGTGTTGGGGGCACTTTTCACTACGATGATATTCATATTGACCACCATTACATCACATTATTGTCATGGCCGATAAAACATAAAATTCATCAGGGTTGCTTATCTATGTACATCTTCCGCAATTCGGCTTCTCGTAGCCTTACTTGGGATCAACCTCCTTGTCCCCAGGCTTCTCAGTTTGTTCCTGACCAGGCAAGGTCAAGACAGGCACGTCGCGGTCAAGAGCATACATGGCCTCTTCCTGGGCATCGTAATGGTGGAACAACACGTAGAATAAGCAGCCAGTCACGGCGGCCGCGACAGCAATACCGGTGTACATCCAAATGAACTTGGGGTCCTTGGCGACAGGTACAAACCCCTCGGAGATGGCGGAACCAAAAGCATTGGTGAAGAGATAGAGAGACTGGACGAAAGACTTCATACTTGGGGGAGCCTTGGTGTAAGCATACTCGAGGCCAGTCACGGAGATGAAGATCTCAGAGACACCAATGAACACATATGCTGGCGTCTGAATAGCGACGTGGACGTGATTTGGCAGCTTTATGTTTTCAGCGCTCAAACCAGCAGGGCAATTGCGAGGACTATCATAGCAGGGTCCGGCGCTGTAGATCAGCTTTTGCACAATGGCAGCGTAAGCCATGCAAAGTCCAGCCAGCCAGAAGCCAATAGTAATTCGAGCAATGGGACGTAACTCAATGCCGCGCCTGCGCAAAATAGGGTAAACAATCTTCTCCAGTATTGGGGTAAAGATCAAAATGGACAGAGGGTCGAAGTTCTGCATGAAGTCATTGGGCATGCCATGTACCTCCATCTGACTAGCCTGAGTAACGAAGTTGCTGGAGAACTGTCCATAGCAAACCCAAAAAATAGGGTAGAAGACGAAGACCTTACAAGCTCTGAGGGCACGCTTGAGCTCATCAACGAAATGGTCATCCCATGCAACCTTGCCAGACTTGCCGTGCTCAGCGCGCCATGAAGGCTTGGCTCCGTCCAGGGAGCGAGTCGTAATCATCATACCAATAGCCTTGAAAGCATCGGTGATAATTTGGCCTTGGGGAGGGCGAATGACGTAGGACTTGCGTCGGAAAATAAGAATGGCAATGCCGACATTGAACATGCAGAAGCAAAGGAGGAACGCAGTCCAGAACCCCTCGTACTTCTCCATGAAAGGCGTGGCCATTAGCGAGAGGGCGCCAACATTTATGCACCAATAAAAGACCATGTAGATTCTCTGGTAGGTGATGGCAGGGTCAATAATCACACGCTCTCCGCTGGCTTCTGTCTTGATAGCCATAGTTCGCCGCTGATACTGGTCGGCAATCAGAGGGGCAATATTGGACTTGATACCACCGGTACCAAGACCAATGACTACTAATGCGGTGACAAAACCACCGAGGCCAGCGCCATTCTCAATTGCAACGGGAAGCGATGTCGTCCAGAGGATGAGGAGTCCAACCCAGTAGATGCAGCAGAAAATGAGGATGGTCTTGTACTTGCCGAGGTACTGGTCGGAGATGATGGCGCCGAGAATAGGTGTCACGTAACAGAACCATTGAAAGAACAGGTTGAGACCGAATGCAGCCTGGTGACCCATGCCCAGGCCCTTCTGACCATCACTACCATCTTTGGCGTTGTTGACGTAGTTCTGAAATAAACCCTGAGCACCGTAGTAGGTGAATCGCTCGGTCAACTCAACAATGGCGATCATGAAAGCGGAAGCGGGAAGGTTTTCGCCGATGCGGCGCAACGTGTTCCTCTCATGCTCGTTGGGTTCTTCGCCATCAGGAGTAGGGCCTGTCTCGGTGTCACCAACGGCGAGATCGCGCTTCTGATCCAAGGAGGGCTTTTCAATATAACCGCCAGTCAAGTCGGTGCCTTCGTTAGGAACGCGCTCGTTGAACTCTTCGTGGAGCCTAATTGGTTGCAGAAAACAATCTGGTTAGTATGAGAGACTCTTTTCCGTATTAAGATGCTGCAAGTGGGTTGATTTGGTGGTGATACAATGGGCAACAGTGCAACCACACAAAAAAGAGGAGAAAAGAAAAACACTTACTCGGCGGCCATATCCTCGTGATTCTGTGCCATGGTAGGTGTTGCTTCTTTGATAGCACCCTGTTCTTACGCAGCGTCTCGCGAGGTGGGAAGGGGAGAAAGCGAGACACAGAATCAAGAAGATTAGGAAGGAAGGAGAAAGAAAGATACGTATTTAAACGAAATCTTAACCAGACCCAGGCCCAGACCGAGGAAAGCGTTTGTCCGGGGGAGCTTTGGGGGAGGGGGCAAAACGCAAAACGTCAAGTCAAGTCAAGTAGGAAGGAAGGCCCGACCAACTGGGGCGTGTCGGAGTACAAATCGGCAAGCCAGACTCAGGACGATAGAGTCGGCACCAAACCCCATGGAGAAGCAAAAGGTCCCGGGGAAACTCGTTTTTGGTTGATAACCCAAATTCACTGAAGCTACACCGTACCGACCAGACGCTTTATCACGGGCCCTGCCTATCTGTGGAGCAGGGTTCCTTCTGCTCCGTTTGTTGTTTCTTGCGCTCAGTGCAGAACAGGGCCGACTGGGTAGGACCGCCGTCTTCAGCAACACCAGCTCAGCAGTTCCGTCATCCGCCCTCATCTCGTCCTTCTGCACTAAGGGCCTCGTCTCGCTCACCCCGGTTGGCTTGAGCAGTGGGTCGGTAACCATGCGATGATGGAGGCGATGGAAATGGAAATGCTGATGGGGGTGTCGGGTGGCTGCAGGGCCAAGCCCAAGCGGGAAGGCGAACCGACGGCGATTGAAGACTGTAAGATCGGGGGATTGCAGGGAGCTGGCCACCTCACCTTTGCCCTGTCATGGCTTGCCCAATTGTATCTCGTGTCGCGATGCTTGGGGTGGAAGTGCTGCGCGACAGACGCGGCGATGAGACAAGCGAACGAAACAATTGACCGAATCGCCATCGCAATACGAATCAGAGAGCCAGGCGGGGAGAACAGTCCGTCATCTGGAGGAAACAGCTTTTGCCAAGACCTTAGTGTCCTCGTCCAACAAAGCCCAAGCCGCTGGAATTTTTTGTGGCTGCGGAAAGGGTACCCATCCATGCCATGGCGTGTCAACACCAGCGTTCATGCAGTTTCTACTCCTCGACTCCTCAGGGCTCTGTGCGCGACATCTGCCAAGTCCGTCACTCGATCGAGGGGGCAAGGTCCCCAGACAGCCTTTGCCGGTTGCCGCCTGGGCATTTTCTGGGCATTTCCAACGCCATTTACCCTCGGGCGCAGTGACAGAATGACACAACACAGATGACATCTCGGCAAACCGCAGTCCACGATACCTCAACATTAAATAATGTTAATGGGAGACACCAGCACGGGCGCCGGGTATGCTCCAAAATTACAACCGCGGGTCACTTATTATCACTTACTAACAGCCAATGCGGACAGAGACGTTGACAATCCCAGGACGCCTGATGGTCCCAAGTTTGCCTTCAACAGCAGCCAACTGATCTCCGCGCGACAACAGTACCAGGTGACCAAACAGGACATTTCTGGCAGCCTGACGTACAGCATCCACAGGATCTTTTGCTTTCTGTCTCGCACCCTGCGACAGACGCCCAATTGCAACACATCCTGTGAGCGACGGTGAGGGTATGGTGATGCTTAGCTCCAGTCAAATCGCGGGGCATGGACGAAAAATGTGCTGGCCAGGGGTGGGAAGCCACACCACTTTCCAGAAGCCATGGAAGCGGCTCAGTCGGTGGGCAAATTCTGCTGTGTGAAGTCGATGATTTTTCTAATTTTTGAATGTATTGCATCATGTAGTTGAACTTTGCACACGCAGTACTCGAGCCCGGGTGGCATGATGCTACAAGATTGGGCTGACTCGAATCCTGCCCACTTGCCGGACGATACCTGTCAACGGTACTTCTGGTTGCTTCAGAACGTCGCTGTGCGCCACTCGGCCAAGTGCTAGAAGATTTAAAGGGTTGAGTTCATGACAATATATCCCTCAGCCGACGCTCTGGCAGGGTACTTGCAAGTCCCGACCAACATTGTGCTTCTCCGACTGGTGAGTTGCCCGACATCCACCTCAAGTTATTACTCGACACGGCGAAGAGATTGTACACGAGTCTCTTATCAAACATAACCATGCTTTATTCCACGGCGACCGCTGCCCTGGGGCTTACCAGGACAAATCAGGGACACCACTAATAAGAGGATATTGACGCCACTCAGCAACCCCCACCGGTTTAGTGAACCATTGGAGCTACAGCATGCGATGAGGGCTGCTTCAGATCGAAAGAGGCGTTGCGCCTCTGGCGAAGATTTTTCTTAGCGCCGCTTCGAGGTTATTTCCAGACGTTCAGACATTCCCGGCTGCCGAGACTGCCCACACCCAGACGGGCAGGCCGTTTGTGTCAGTGCCGTAGCTCA